CAGACAGAAGCAGACAGCTCATGATTACAACGCTGCTTGTCTTACCTGCTTGCCCTCAGGTTCTTCTTGGCTCCCTAACACACAATCAGAGAGCTAATAGATTTGTAGTGATTTAAAAGGACTTCTTAGACTCCACTGAGGGTAGTTCCAATGATGACCGTTCCGAGGGGAAACAGAGAACAGAGACACGGGAGCTCTCTGTAGTTTGACTCAGATTTATTGCGGACAGGCTTTGAAGAAGATGTCAGTCTGCTTAGTCTTCAATGCAGGCTCCAGTCAGCTCAACCTTTCTTGTTCTTTGGTTAGTCGTCCTTTGATGTACCCTGGCTAGCAAGTAAAGGAACAGTCTGTAAATACTGTTTTGTGACACCTTTGGGAAAAATGATTATTGGCTTCGTTTACATGTCTGTACAAAGGACATGTTGTTTTTTTGGTTTTTTTTTAAAATCCTGAAATGTATTTTTGTCAAATATGGAAACAAGGAAGTTCTTCTTGCAACAACAAAACAATTGAAGAACATGCATAACAAGATAAAAGTAAATGTTTATCCTATCTCAAGTCTGATATCTGCCGCTGAGTGACAATGTGATTCCAGCACATACCTGATTTTTTTATTTGTGAATTTGTGCTTCTATGAATCAAAAGAGTAGAGATTTCTGGATTTCTGAATTGATCTGACGTCACCTCAATGACTATTAAAGCGAATTATGTGACTAATTTTTTCTTCTGTGTGTTTTGCTTATTAAAACGATCACCCAGCTTGCATCACCACCACGAGCATGCATTCTCGCTTTCCCAACCGGTTCTGTGGCGTCACAGCAGCTTGTTCCAAAAAGTTTATACACGACTTCGATAACGGCGTCACTCGGGTAATGACGATACACCTGATGCTGAGACCCGATTGGCGTTGACATCTTTCTTTCAGTGTGACTGGGATAAGTTGGTGTCTGATTCACACTGACTCAGATTTTCAGACAAAGCTTCACATGTCTGCAGTTGTCTCAAAGACACGTTCCCAGGAATGTCTATGAGATCATCCCCCTCTGCCGTAGAAAAATCGTACTCGAGCTCGGTGACTCACTCGGTAATTGGCTGGGGAAATGAAGGAATCAAGAAGTGGGGCAGAGAGGATACTAGAATATCCACTGACAAATGGGAGAGGTCTTTTCTGCCAGTGAGGCGTTTAAAACACAGCATAACATCTTTATTGTTACTTTTTACTGAGGTCTTACAGCTCTTTTCTTAAGACCCCGATCAGTGATTTATTGACTGGCCTTACTTTAAAGTACATGCCCAGATTATCCCCCTAAGAACCGAAAGGCAAGCATTTTGAGAGTCCTCGTCTATGCTCTTGTTTCTTTTTAGTCACGCTAGCACTATGCTGCAGGCAGTGTTGGTCTGTTGGTACTTAATGAAATATTTTAACAATTGTTGGATGGATTACAATGACATTTGGTTGCCTATATGGGATAAACTGTTACTTGAACCATCATCAGGTGAAAGTTTTAGTCTGTACTCTATGACCAACAACATGCAACATACAGTTTACAGACACTAGAAAAAGATACAACCTTTTTTTTCTTCTTCTTACTATCCAACATTAAATGTGGCTACACTTTTCTTGTTTTCGGGCAGTTAGGATTACCAAAATTATTTCTATTTGCTAAATGCCAGTGTAGTGAGAGAGATAATTTTTTAGAGGGTTTTTTTCTTACTCTCTTCAAAGTCAGAAGTGTACATGCATTTCCTTAGTGTTTGGTAGTATTGCCTTTAAACTGTGTGACTTGGGTTAAACGTTTTGGGTATCTTTCCACAAGCTTCTCACAATAGTTTGCTGGATTTTTGCCCCATTCCTCCTGACAGAACCGGTGGAATTGAGTCAGGTTTATAAGTCACCTTGCTCACACACACCTTTCAGCTCTGCCCACAAATTTTCTACGAATTTTCTACAGGATTGAGATCAGGGCTTTGTGATGGCCACTCCAAAACATTGACTTTGTTCTCCTGAAGCCACTTTTTAACTAATCTGGCAGTATGCTTAGGATCATTGTCCTTTTGGAAGACCCATTTGTGCCCAAGCTTTAACTTCCTGGCTGACGTCTTGAGATGTTGTTTCAATATTTCCACATAATGTTCTTTCCTCATGATGCCATCTATTTTGTGAAGTGCATCAGTCCCTCCTGCAGCAAAACACCCCCACAACATGATGCTGCCACCCCCGTGCTTCACAGTTGGGTTGGTGTTCTCATGCTTGCAAGTGTTCTTCTTTTTCCTCCAAATGTAACGATGGTCATTATGGACAAACAGTTCAGTTTTAGTTTCATCAGACCACAGGACATGTCTCCAAAAAGTAAGGTCTTTGTCCCTGTGTGCATTGTCAAAATGTAATCTGGCTGTTTTATGTTGCTTCTGGAGTAATGTCTTCTTCCTTGCTGAGTAGTCTTTCAGCCCATGTCGGTACAGGACTCGTTTCACTGTGGATAATGACACTCTCTTACCAGCTTCAGCAGCATCTTCACAAGGTCTTCTGCTTTTGTTCTGGGGTTGACAGGCCCATTCGCACCAAAACACTTCATCTTTGGGACACAGAACCCGTCTCCTTCCTGAGCGATCTGATGACTCGACATTCCCATGGTGTTTATACTTGTATTTCATTGTTTGAACAGATGAACGTGGAACCTTCACGCATCTGGAAATTGTACCCAAGGATGAACCAGACTTGTGGAGGTCCACAATTCTCCTCCTGATGTCTTGGCTGATTTCTTTCCATCCATGTTGTCACAAAAGGAAGCAGTGTGTTTGAGGTGTGCCTTAAAATACATCCACAGGTGTGCCTCCAATTAACTCAAATGTTGTCAATTAACCTATTAAATGCTTCCAAAGCCATGGCATCATCATCTGGGTTTTCCCAAATAGTTTGTAGGCATATTAATCTTAGTGTATGTAAACTTCTGACTTTAAAGAAAGTAATAAAGAATTTTTTTTTTTAAATTCTCTCTCTCATTCTGGCATTTGGCAAATAGAAATAATTGTGGTAATCCTGGTTTTATGTGTTTTTTTATGTGTTTTTATACAGCGTATATAAACTTCTGGTTTCTATTTATTCACATTCCTCTCATATTCAGCTGTAATTTGCGATGAATGCTAGCAATGCATACATTTTAGAATAAGTGTGTTAGCATGCTGATACTAACAATTATCTATGTCCAAGTACATTCTCACAGTTCAGACAGGACACTTCATCAGATTTAACAATTTATTTCAACATTACATGTATTTGTGTTTGGCTTAACAATCTGAGCAAACATGACACAGACAGCCTCGGCACAACCTGAGACTCACAATGTTGAAATGAACACACGTATGAGCACGGAAACAACTTAAACAGGCCACATTAAAATCAGGCTTACGTAGTTTTAAGGCACAATTATAAAGCATCTGTGTTCAAAATATAAGAAACATAATTCTTTCCATCCTCCATCGATTCAAAGGTGTGTCTCAGAATGAGCAGTTCAGGTTGTTGAGATGTCATAACAGGATTGTAGGTTGCAGATGCTTGTTTTACTGTAACTGATGGGTTTTCTACTGTGTATTTGTATTTTTTCTATTATTTTTCTGCTCTTGATCTAAATATAAGTGCCTGACTGAAACTCAAGCACGTAATTTTAGCTTATTGTATCCAGTAATTGGGGGATCAAAAGCATAAAAAAGCATGTTTCAGATAATCACACACAGAGTAATTTGATGGTATGGTGAAGTCTTACTTACTCAACCAGTATATACATACAGCATTTCTAGTCTAAAACTAAAAAAACAGCTAAAAGTTTTCAAGTGTTGCTAAGATTGCTCACAACGCTACAGATGGGTGACAGATTAAAGGAAAAACCTTAACCCTTGACCCCTACAGTGAGGAGATAGATAGATAGATAGATAGATAGATAGATAGATAGATAGATAGATAGATAGATAGATAGATAGATAGATACGTGATTCGACCCCTTGGGGAAATTCAAGGTATCCAGAGGCTAGCACATGTTACCATTTAAGAAAGATCAGGAAATCAATGTACAAAAAATGTGCAATTATCCTGCAAATCGTGCTGTCGAAGAAACAAGGTGCCAAAATTAATGGTATTTACAATAAAGGTGCAAAATTGTTGGTATTGCTGGTATGATTTGGATCCACTTGTCTCCTCAAAGGGGAAATGTCACTTCAAATTAAAGACAAGTTCTTCTGATGGATCATCTTTAACCTTTAACCAGACATTTTTATGCTGATGGGAGTCATCTCTACCAGGATGACAGTCTTACTATCCATAGAGCACTAGGGGTCAGTGAATGGTTTGATGAGTTTGAAAATGATGAACAATGCTCTCCACCACATCGTCAAAACACGAAATGAGGGAAAATCTTCTGGAAAAATGGAGTTCAGTCCCTCTAAGGTACTTTGAAGCTGTTGTGGTTGCACGTGGCGGCCCAGCACCTTACCAAGACACTCTATGCTGTTTTTTTTCCTTTACTTAGTCACATGTCTGGACCTTTTATTGACTTAAATTTGCCAACATTTTAATAATAATCAATGTGAGGAAACAAAATCAAACTAAAGAAACTTACTTTTATTTATGCTACAAGTTAAAATGTGCAGTTTAATGGCTGTATGTGACTGCAGCACAAAGAAATCGAAGACTTAAGACCTTCCTAAAAACTAATCAACAAAAATCGTGATGCCTAAATGGCCTTACCTGTTTGTTCACTGTTGGCAGCAAGAGGCTAAATGTCTGAGGAATGAATGAATGACAAGTTCTAAGACAAGGAAAAATAAATATACCTAAGCTGATGATGACGCTGAAGTCACTTTTCCACCTGCTCTCCCGAACAATGAGCTGATTTTTTGCGACTCCCTGTTCCTCTCTCAGTGGACATGTCAGCGTGCCGTCCCCTCCCACTCCACGCACAGCGGCTGAAGGCGGGCTGTCCTCTTCCCACGTCAGAGGCGTTCGTTATTTAAACTTGAATCAGGAGAGGAGGAAAGTTTTTCCGAGCCGGGACAGCGTTGCCTAGCAGCTAGGCACAGGACTCTTCCTTAAGTTTTTTCACTCGCATATCGAGGAAGCGCGGACGTATCCCCTTCTCAGTCTACCTGTCATCTTGTCCGTTTGTCTCTCGCAGTCTTAAATGCCAAACATGTCTCAGACCGTGACGCTAAAGGGACCCTCTCCGTGGGGCTTTCGACTGGTGGGAGGACGGGATTTCAGCACGCCGTTAACCATCTCCAGGGTAAGGTTTGTTTTTCTTCTTCTCTCGCTCCGGCGTGCGTATCCATTCATTGACCCGTGCGTAAAAGTCGGAGGGAGGGAGAGGGGGGGCGCCTCAAACTTTGGCACTTTGGGCCGCCGTACAAGGGAGTGAGTGAGGGGAAAGTTTGGATTGAGTCAGGCTAGAAATCGCTGAGTTAATTCATCTTAAATACGAGGTCACACAGGTCTGTTATTCCTAACAAAAATAGCTGTGAGTGTATAAACAGGAGCTTCACTCTAAAAGCAGACAGATGGTGCCGTCTAATTTCTGGCAGCTGAATTTGCCAGTTCAGTTTAGTGAGTCACTGCGTTTGGACCACCATCTGTTGCAGGGTTCATTATCATCAGGTTCAGCAGAAGCTAGAAAACACAACATGGGGATATATATATATATTTTTAAGTGGTACTGAATGATATAATGGAAGTAGAAGATTGGTTGGTTTTAAAATAAATAAACACAAGTTATTGAATATAAATTTAAACTGTGTTGTCACATTTTGATCATGTGATCTCAGGTGGTCTCAGCTTTTTAAACAAGTGTCAAATCTGGAAATTCTATTAGAATCTAACATCAGGGTGCATGTTGTAAATAATAGTTGCTTTTAATATTGGTAGCAGCAGATGTGGTGATGGTAGTGGTGCTCAGGGAGAAACTTGATGACCTTCCCTGACCCCTGAAATTTGGGTCAAGAGTTGGTGTGCTGGCAGTGGATCTGGCAGTAGCCAATAGTTCATCCTGTCCAGGGTAAACACAGCCTGGTCTTTGCTGCAGGGCTTACAGAAGGGACAGGGGGGGGAGGCGCTGACATTTGTTTTTCATCAGAGCTCGCCGGTTGCTGCTGAGGGATTCCAGGTGTTGTGCTCAGCTGTATCACCGGCCCCAAACCGACCCTTTAACTACAGGGCTCCAACACTTGAAACTGGAGGTGTAATTTTTAGATTTACAGCAGGCGATTAACCACTGTGAGACAAGCAGACGAACCCCCTGAAGGTCACCTGAAGTGCTCGCCGTTTCTTTCAAACCTATCACTAAATGCTGTGATGCAATGAGGTGGCATGCTTTGACTCATGCTTGGGTGCAATCGTCTTGACAGATATATGTCTGTGGGTTTATGGCGTCTTCATTCTCACATTAGCGAGACTCGCTTGCTAACTCGCCACCTTCGACTCTCCAAATCACAGTGAGAGGCATCCGAATTTTACGGCTTTAGAAATCCAGAACATGACATCAGTAAACTCCACACTCTTGGAAGGATCCAGCTTTCTGTGGGCAGAGCGCTGCGTTTATGCTTCATGTTTCAGTTTGACTCTTTCTGTGCAGGGAGTCGAGTTTCTTGCAGAGACTGTGTTATTCATTTGGAAGAGGAGAGAGCCTACAGGCTATCGCAGCTTCCTTGCATTTGTGCAGCTTTTAAACTCAAGATATTGCCTCGTGCAGCTTAAGAGGCATCTGAGGCTTTTGTGAAGCATACCGAACTCCTTTGATAATTTGTTCAGCATGCAAGTTGCAGTTTCCGTATCATTGTTCACACAGTTTCTCATGCTTGCATATTAATAGCATGGCATGCACAGGGAAGATCTTTTGCATTGTAAAAGTTGCATAACTCAGTGATGATGGCATCAGTAAAAATTGATTACAGGTTCCTTGGTACAGATAGTTACATAGCAAAGATGGCAATAAAAAACCCAGTGCTCACATGGAAGCACTGCTTGCAAGAGAAAATAGGGGACTTTTTTTTTGGCTAATTCCAAAATCTTGGCTGGAAAATTAGGCAAGGAAGCAGCTGTTGAGATGCAAGAATATTTAGCAAAATATGTCATGTCAGAAGCATAAATACACAGTTTTTTTGGCTGCGAGTCTCCGCATTACACTGCCTCTTAAAGAATAACGTAATGGCTGCTTTCTACCAGCCGTTACAGAGCAGTCCAACGTTCAGCTGACGTCACCTGCTCTGAAACATCAGCTGACGGCACAAAATGTGTTTTAGTGGCCGAACTTGACAACTGTTTATTCTTGGTGTCTGTTAGTCAAATTTATGCCAGCGAGTAAATCAAGATCAAATTTAAGAAGAAGTGCTAAAATAGTAGAAACGTGAGATAGGAATCCTCGCTCTTCAGCTCATGGGAGCCTGTCGAAATTCTGAGTTTGGTGCATGATGTGATTCATTGCTGCTGAGTATCTCCTAAGCTCGCAATTCATCACATGCTTCTTGCATTCCTGCTGCACAGTGCGTGCCCAAGACAGCAATTAGAATGTGTCGAACAGCGACACAGAAAGAGATACATGGAGCGAGAGGAAGAGTTCATTTGTGAGAGTGTTTCGGAGAAGCATAGTTTATGTCTTACTCTATCCAAAATGCCTCTCTTGGGGGGTATTTTAGCATCATGTAAGCCTTGCACAAGCCAGAAACGGTCTAAATGGTAGTGGTGTGTCTGCTGGATCTGAAAAGCTGGTCAGGAGAAGAAGAGGAGGCTTAAGATGAGACCAAAATGGTAGTTGTTATTGAGTTTTACGGGATTTTACACAATCCTTCCAGTAATACCTCTCCTTTGCGTGGCTGGAAGATCTCCTCCCCTCCTCTTTCTGTGCATATAAAATCGAATGCCATGAAACACCTGCACCGAGAGGCAGTGAAAGTTGTAAATACCGAAAAACAAGTTGTGATGGCAGCAGCTGGTTCTTTGCTTAAGGTGATAATGTTCCAGGATAAGCCCATTAGTCCCCTGCCAGCCCATTAGGGCTTGAGCCAGTTAATGGTGTGTCTGTTTGACTCTGGAAACATTCGCCCTGATAGTGTGTCTGCATGTGCACGGTGGGTCAGCTTGTTAACTGGCTTCGAGTGAATGAGACGGATTGAGTGGCGGAGAAACAGAAACGTATAAAATCGCTGATATAACTGCAGAAGCATTTAGAGGGGATGCGTTGAATGTGGCAGCTGTGGTGTAAGCCCTTTTGTAAATAGATGTCAAACTCAATTCCAGACAGAAGGTGACGCAGGACACTTGTCAGTCCTGCCAACTGGCAAACTGTCAACTTGTGGAAGGGAATTCGCAAGCGAGCGTTGGGTAAATAGTTATCCAAGCGGTGCACAGAATCACTTTCCAGCATCCCCTTTTGACACCTTTATGTTCGTCATGCTGTGTAGACTCTGCTAGACGAAAGATAGAAAACGAGATTTAGTTTTGCTCAGGTTAGATTACTTTTCCCAGTTTCCAAAACTTCAAGTTTCTGTCTTCAAATAGTTTGAAGACATACAACCAGCTGTCCAATATCCATTATATTCTGTTTACAATGAGATAAAACACAGAAAGCCAACAAATCATGATATTTCAAGAGCTGGACTTGATGTACTTGTGGATGATTCAAAAATGTAATTGAGTTTAAATAGTTTTCTGTCATTTAAGTATATTATTTGTCAGAAATTGTTTTTAAAATAATTTACTTTTTCATGCACACTGAATTGCTCTTGGCAAATCCCAAACACTTTCAGCCATACACAGAAACTTTTTCTGAGTTTTGTAGGGCTGCAATAAAAGTATTGTCATTGATGGATTCATTGGTGAATCTATTAAATGTAAGGGGACAAAAATGCAGATTCTGATTTTCCAAAGCCAAATTTAAAGTCTTTGGATTGCTTGTTTTTCTTGGCTAACAGTCTTACATCTGTAGTTTCTGTAACAAAACACAAAGAAAATCAGCACATAGCCACAATTTTAAATCCGCAGAAAAAGAAGAAGTTGATCGTCGGATTCTACGTTTTGAACTCTCTCAAAAACGATCAACACTGCAGAACCTCGAGGCCAAGTCTTCACAAAGGTCCATGTAGCAACTGTTTATCTGTACCATCTGCAGCTCATTGTATGCAGTGTACAGTAAGAAATCTAGTTAGGTTCACCGTATGGTTTTCTTTTGTGTTTCCATCTGAATGGGATCAAAGTCCACCCTCTGGCAGAGTAGTGCATTATGGGAGCAGGATCAACTGGAGCTGGTCACTTTCTGTGCTTACAGTTAGTGTTTGGGACTTTAAGGCAGAGACGCACAGAGGAAAGTCATATCTATACATCTCTTTCATGCTGTACACATTCCACTAATTAATATTTCTTCCCGGTATTTCTGGAATTTGACAGAACACGACCTCTTATTGTTCCGCGATTCCTATGCTGATTTTATGAGGGCATTAGAAACATAGAACATGAATTAAGAACAAACATGACTTTGCGTGCATTAGCGATTATGCATCCTCTGAATTCGATGTCCTTTGTACCCTTTAATCTCTCAGTACGTGCGTCTCTGCCACATACCAGAGACGGGACATGTGACCTGAAGCCACATGGGTTGTTTCTCGGACACTGCTGGTTATAATATTCGGCTTTAGGCTGCTCTCTGCCTGCTCTTTTCTCCTGGCGAGAATTATAGATGCCGCATCTCCACAACAAACTGAGTGAAGGATAACAGATGGTACTCTCTCCAAGAATTTCCTGTTGTCAAAGAAGCTGCTGAGTTTTTTGAAATGGCAGAGCAAGAGGGACAATGCAAGTCCTTGAGTTGTTGCTGAGCTTTTCCTGCTCATCTCATGTGAGAAAGCGACAGTCGGTGATTGTTCGTAACACGAGTTGGGTGAGCAGAGATGTGAAGATGAGCAGTTCTTGTCTTTTAACACCAGAAAGAATCCCTAGACAGTGCAGTAATTACAGCTTTCCAGAACTTGCTTCCATATGAAGACCATGAGGAAAACATCAATTTGTTCCGCGCGCATTCGTAAACAGCCTCGCAATCTTCTCTGGGGTCACGGAATGAGCATCCTTTACAAGATTTTACATTCGACAAGCATTCTGAGACTGCCAAGTATCTAAAACATGATTCCTCTAATGTTGAATCATCACATGGTGAGAAGACGTGCAGAAAACGTCACAGAAAAACACCCCCTATGTGCAAAAGCCTGTTAGAATTGTTACTAATCTGCTTACAAATCAGATTTA